TCGCTTCTTGACCGCGCTTCCCCGTCTCGTTTCTGCCGCTGCTGACCTGTCTTCGACATCTACGCGGCGTCTCCGTCACCTCTTCCTGCGTGCCCAGTGACAGGTCTCATGATGCGATGATGATGCTGATGTGTTGGCTCGCCCCAGTGAGCTCTCCTCCTCCGCCCGCCACCTCCTGCCCGCGCTGCCCTGTGCCTCGTCCATGCAGTGGCGCGGTGCCTATGAGAAGGGGGGCCTAGTTTGCGTGCCCCCTCCTTCGTCTCATATCCGTGCGGTGCTCGCAGCTGCGTATGGTTTGGTCCTTCTCCAGGCTAATTTTTGTTGCCGTTCTAGAGTATTTTTTAAAGTATTTTTTTAATTTTTCGTCGAAAATCCCCCTGTAGGGGGACGCGCCCGACTTAAATCCAGGCATGCACTTCACCCAGCTCCGGTTGAGTTTACAGCCCTTGGGGTTCTTCTCGCCGCTGTACTACAGACTCGATCAGGATTTCTGGAAGATTTGCGCCTTTGCGGCGCGCCCTGTCGCGATCGCCCTGGAGGAGTAGCTTCTGCCTTTCCGCACCGGGACGGTGAGCCGCCGCGACAACAAACACAGACTGGAACGTGCGAGAGGTGATTGCACATAGACGCGGGGGCGATTGAGGGTTTAATCTCACTCGATGCTGATCGCAACTGCTTGGGATCATGAGCGTATTTAAGCCTACGCTCCACTACATATCATCTCCCATTGCGGGGCCTGAATTGTCCATCGAATGCTCCTCATTTCCGCGGTGACCGACGTCGTCAGAGTTCCTTTTACCGAGGACCGCGCAATTTCATGGTACTGCACTCATGTGGTTGTTGCGGCACTATGCCAAAAATTTTGCATTAGCGTTGATACCCTTGAGCGGCTGCATAGTCTGGTGTGTAATGCAAGTTCTCAGAAGTGTAATTGGGTGTGAGCACAATAAAGACGTATATCTACGTTAGGCCAGTTGGCCGAACCGAGCGATTTCTCTTGTATTGAGGCTCTAGACAGGCTGCGATCAAACGTCACGTTTCGACGGACATGAGGTATCGCTCGATGTTCGGGCCACTGTGATGCTCCCAGGGATGATGACGACCCCTGTCCGCATCCATGGGACGAGCCGGTCCCCTGATCACCCCCGAAGTTTCTGGCCATGGAAAAAGATGCCTGTCAACCGCACGATTTAGAGAATGTAGTGCAACCCTTCCAGAGGGATCTTCTCGAGGGGTGTCAATGCTGTTTCCATGGCTTCCGATGTTACTTAATCGCTTCGCTCATTTCGCCGACCCAGACTATTCCATCGCGGGCGTTTGCTCGCGTGCTCGTTGCCAATGCGGCGTTGATGGGTGGTGGTAGTTTTCTTGAAGTGATGCGTGAGCAGTCATGGGCGTCTTGGGGCAGAGAGCTCGAAATTCCTGTTCGTGTCGCCCCTCTTGAGCCGCCCTTGGACTCCCTCTTGGGGCCATCTTGTGCCGTCTTGGGAGCGTCTTGGGGGCACACTCTAGCATCGTTGGCATTGGCCTGCGTGCTCGCGGGGGCTTCCGTTGAGCCTCGTGGGGCCTCTTGAGGGCATTTTGGGGACCTTTTAGGGGCTCGGGGGCCTCTTCGAGGTCTCTTGGGGCCCTCCTGTGGGCTTTCTGGCCGTGTGGGGGGCCACCTGTCGGGGAGGGGTTCGAAATTACAGTTCCGGTTTGCCCCTCGTCGGGCTCTTTTGGGGGTTTGGAGGCCTCCTGGGAGGCCTCTGGGGCCGTCTCGCGCGGCCCTTGGGGGCCGCCTCGCGGCCGTCCTGGAGGCCTTTAGGCTTGAACTGAGGCTGAGCAGGCCGTCTTGGGCAGCCGAAAGACGGAAAAGGCGGCAACTCCAACAGCTTCAACAAACCGAAGCGAAATCATTGATTTTTGGCCTTGCGGGGGCCTCTTGGAGCTATGTTTGACCATGTCAAGGCTATGTTGAAGCTTTTTTGGGAGTGTAGAGGGACCATCGTGGAATCTGCCACCCAAGGTTCCCGACTCGAATGACTTCTTGGCGCTCCCTCTGCGTCCCTCGGGGCGCTCCTGGGGCGCTCTTGGGGGCCTCGAAGACCGCCCCCAGGAATTCCGGCATCCGTGACACCGACCGCCCGGGACCTGCCCCAGATTTTCCCGGAACCTGCCGGGGGACCGCCCAAGGTGTTTTCCGTGCTGGGGACCCCAGTGGCCGCCACGCGCGCGCGAATTAGAACAATCGAACCCTGTTACCGGATAGTGTATAGCACGCCTCTTGCCCTTTCTTTGGCGAGCTAAGTCTGCCCAACCTTCTTTGGCCAGGGATAGCACCAAGAGTCACTGCTGGCCATCTGTGCGTGAGCTTGTGCGAAGAGACGCACCGACCCGATGTGCTTCTAGAAGCGTAGAGCATCGTACCGCAGGTCAGTTGCTCTATTGCTACGGCGTTTTCAGGGAGTTGCGATAGGTGAGTGAACTAAGCAGAGGTACACAGTAAACATTTGAGGAGCCTGAGTGAGAGGATGCTGCTGAATATTGCCATGCTGATGATAATGCTGATGAGAATGATGATGCTGCTGATGATGATTATGATGCTACTGATGATGATTTTGATGGTGACGATGAACATGATTATGATGATGCTGATTATGGTGACGACGACGATGATCATGATGCTGATTATGATGTTGATGATAATTCTGATGATGATGCTGATGATGATGGTGATGATGATGATGATGATGATGCTGATGATGATGATGATGCTGATGCTGATGTTCATGATGCTGATGATGTTTATGATGCTGCTGCTGCTGATGATGATGATCATGATGACTATGATGCTGCTGCTGCAGATGATTATGACGACGGCGACGACGATGTTGCTGATGCCGATGCCGCTGCTGCTGATGATGATGATGCTGCTGCTGATGCTGATACTGATGCCGATGACGCTGCAGATAAAGAAGAAGATGATGATGGTGATGATGATGGTGATGATGCAAATTATGATGATGATGGTGATGATGATGCTGCTGATGATGATGCTGACGATGATGATGACGACGATGATGATGATGATGATGATGCTGTTGGTGATGCTGCTGCTGACGATGATGATGATGATGATGATGATGATGATGATGCTGATGCTGATGCTGATGTTGATGATGATGATGATGATGATGATGATGATGATGATGGTGAAGATGATGCTGCTGCTGCTGATGATGATGATGATGCTGATGATGATGATGATGATGATGATGATGATGATGATGATGATGATGATGATGCTGCTGCTGCTGATGCTGATGCTGTTGCTGGATCTGATGATGATAATAATGTCGATGATAGTCTCGCTGATACTGCGGATGCTGATGCTTATGCTGATTTTGAAGTGGGTGAGGAGGAGTAGGAGAAGGATGAAGAGGAGGAGTCGGAGGAGAAGAAGGAGAAGGACGATGATGAGGAAGAGGAGGAGGAGGAGGAGGAGGAGGAGGAGGAGGAGGAGGAGGAGGAGGAGGAGGAGGAGGGCGGCGTTCGACGACATCTGTAGCCATCAGGAACCAGGAACCAGGAGGAGGAGGGGGGGAAGAGGATGAGGATGAGGATGAGGCTGATGCTGATGCAGCTGATGCTTCTGATGCTATTGCTGTTGCTGCTGCTGATGCTGATGCTGATGCTGATGCTGATGCTGATGATGATGATGATGATGATGATGATGATGATTCTGATGATTCTGATGATAATGACGATTCCGATTACGATGATGATGCTGATGATGATGAGATGCTGCTGCTGATGATGATCATGATGATAAGGATGGTGATGTTGTGAGGATGAGGATGATGATGAGGATGAGGATTGGGATGACGAGGACGATGCTGATGATGCTGATAATGATGACGATGCTGCTGTGGATGATGATTATGATGATATGATGAGGATGATGTTGATGCTGATGTTGATGCTGATGATGATGATGATGATGATGGTGATGATGATTCTGCTGCTGATGATGAGTATGACGATGGCGACGATGATGGTGCTGATGATGCTGCTGATGATGCTGATGCTGCTGATGATGATACGGATGATGCTGATGCTGATGATGCTGATGATGATGATGATGATGATGATGATGATGATGATGTTGGTGAGGATGGGGATTATGACGAGGATGATTATGATGCTGATGCTGATGCTGATGATGCTGATGATACTGATGCTGATGGCGATAATGTTGATGCTGATGCTGCAGACCATGATGATGATATAATGATAATGATGATGCTGATGGTGCTGCTGCTGCTGCTGCTGATGATGATGATGATGATGATGATGATGATGATGATGATGATGATGATGGTGATGGATACGAGGAGGAGCTCGAGGAGGATTCAGAAAAATACAAGCAGGAAGAAGACGAATGCAGGTAGGGCTTGGGTGTGGGGGGGGCGGATGAATAGTTCTTGGGTCGTCAGGAGTTTCCCCGCCCAGATTGACGTACTCCCTTCCCCCCGCTCTTTCCAGCTCATCTCTTTTGCCGCGCGCCTACCCACCAGGAGAAGGAAAAGGGGATACGCGCCCGACCGCGGTGATGCGTGCCCGCCAGGCGAGGAGAAATGCGCACCCACGATGGGCAAGAGCGGGTGGATGAGAAGCACCTGTTCACAAGGTCGTCGTTTTTTATTTATTGTTTTGCCGATCGGCGCGGGCCCTCGCACCCCCCCTCCCCGCCCTATGGAGTGGATCTTGGCTGTTTTTGGCGCCTCGAGCAGGTGGAGTCTCCCCCATAGGACGCACTGCTGCAAACAGTCGCACTAAGCAGAAGTCCGGAGCCAGACCCCCCCCTCCCCCACTTCCCCATTTGCCCAATGTTGAAACACCGAAACAGCAAACGTTCGAAAGCGGCTTTTCGGAGGCACCCTGACCCGTCCCTTCGCACCCTGCTGCCTCGCCCTTCAGCTGCCGGCCCTGCCCACCGGTTTTCCCGCCGCCGCGAGACCCCGTGCGCGTTCCTCGAGATCAAGTCTGGAGAAAGCGTGACGGACGAGGACCAAGGGGAGTGGGTAGGAGAACGAGCTGGGGAGGTGGAGGAGGAGGAGGAGGAGGAGGAGGAGGAGGAAAAGGAGGTAGGAGGAGGTAGGAGGAGGAGGAGGAGGAGGAGGAGGAGGAGGAGGAGGAGGAGGAGGAGGAGGAGGAGAAGGAATCGAGGGGGAAGGGGTGGGGTGAAAGGGGATTGGGAAAGGGGGAGCGCGTCGTGAAGAGGAGTCGGCTACGGGAAGGGGAGGCGGAAGGAGAAGACGGGGAGAGGGAAGGGGAACACAGCGCGAAGGGGAGGGGATAAGGAGGGGGGAGGAGGGGACGGGCCAGAGGGGGGACTGAAACTCCTCCCCAGTCCCCATCGCACTGATCAAGTTGGGGTGGACGGAGGGGCGGTTTTGAGGGTGCTTGTTGGAGCGCGGCTGTCTAGACGGCGTGTGACAGCCACCTGCTGCAGCAGGCGTGCAGACGCGTGACACGCTACATCATGGGACGGTAGAGGTTAGTATTTTCGCCAGCCAGTTTGTTGCATTGGAAGCTCCGTGCCTCTCCAGGGTCTGGGTCCGCTCGGGGGGTCGCACTTACACAACCGATTGCCTATCCCTCTTGGCCAGGAGATGTTCAAGTGGTGCAGGGAAAACATGGTGCACTACATGGCGAGCTGTCCCGCGCACTGTTCCTCCTCGGCGGGGATGCGGGTGAGGCGGACATGTCAAGGAGGGAAGGAGTGGGACAGGGTGAAGTCTGAAGTCGTACTGAGACACAGCATGCTCCCAACCGTGGTCAATTGACTTTTCTGAGGCCGAAATCAGCCTGGCCCGATCCCAACCTCGAAGTGCAGCAGCGTCTCATAATAGCCGAAACCTGAGGGCGTGCACATCCTCAGGCAACACCTGACAGGCCAGTAGGGACTCACGAACAGCGACTTGTGCATTATCATGGGCAGGGGGATGGCGATGCGGATGCGAGGCCATCTCTGCTTTTGCCTCGGTACGCGTGTTGCCCATGATTGTTTCGTATCTCTCCGCCTCTCCTTCTCTCGCCCTTCCTTGCTTTTTTTTGTTGTTGTTTCTCTCTCTCTCTCTCTCCCTTCTCTCTCTCTCTCGCTTCGGTCGCCCTCTCTATATACTCCCTGCACTCCGTGTCTTCTTATCTTTCTATTCCCTGGCTTTTCTCCACCTCCATCCTGCCCCGATCCAGACGGTAGCAGCGATCGCGTCAACCTGCTTCGCGACCGACATCCCGGCAAGGGGAACAACAACGACCGCGTGCGCAGCTAAACGCGCCATCAGAGCCGTCCTCGGAGCGGAGAGGCTGCGTCCCAGCCTTGGCCTTGCAACCGCGTCCCGCAGGTGCCGCGCACCTTCGTGATGGAGCCGCTGCCGAGGACTAGCACCGGGAAGGTGCAGAAGCACGTGCTCCGCAGCCGCACCAAGGAGCTTACGAAGGCTTTCTGCCCCTCCCGCTCCTGCAGCCTTGCAGCCCATGGGTCTCCTCCTGTCAGGACGTTTAGTTGCACGTCTACCTCCATCACCCCTGCTGCTCCTCCTCCTGCTACTGCTGCTCCTCCTGTTGCTCCTCTTTGCGTTCTTCATCCTCCTCTCACCCATTTTCTTTCCTCCTCCTCCTCCTCGTCCTCCGCGTGCGAGACAGCCGCAGCGCCGACCTCACTGCTTCCGACAGTTGTAAACGAATCTGAGCAGGGTCTCCCTGCCAGCGGGGCACCCGTGCACCTGGGACCTGCCAGGTAACAGGGCACACCATGCAGTGTCCCCATCTATACTTTTCCAGCTGCTCTTATCCATCCTGTCACCGAACTCGGTGCGTTCTCTCATCTGGGTCTGTCCTCCTGCTCCCCCTCTCGTGAGGAGTGAGCCGCGACACTCCCATCTGCCCAACACCAATTCGCCCCAGGCGCCTATCTCTGTCAGCTCGAAGCTCCAGAACGTTGGGAACACGGCGTCGTCCAAGTTGTGAAGGCCGCCCCTAGGAAGCCTCCACGCAAGAATGTATGTTCAAGTCTAGGTCATATGGCAAGTGCCCGTTTAAATCAGATCCTAGACAGACAAGACTGTTTGTCTCACGGCGAGGGTTGGCTGACACCCAGCTTGAGCGCGTGGGGTTTTCCAGATCCATGACTTTCTAAGTTCCACTTTTGCTCGGCCGATTCGGCTTCTCCTGCAGAGAAGATCTAGCGAAGGCTGATCTCCCATGCGCGGTCAGACAGCCGCTACCTAGTGGCCTTCGGCCAATGCCGCCACCCCGCGCGCCTGTGTCGTGGGCAAGGCCTCTTTGGGGCCCCTTTTTGGTGGCCCCTTCCTCTTTCGAGCCTTCTGGGGGTCTCTCGGGGCACCCCGGGGGTCTCGTGGGTACTCCTGGGGCCTCGTGGGGGCAGCCTGCTGGATGTCTCGGGGGTTACCTTTGGGTGGCGGGCTCCAAATGACAGTTCGAGCTTCTTCGGGGGACTTCTGGACCCTTCTTGAGGGGCTCGGAGGTCCTCTTGGGCGGGTCTTCGGGGCCTCTTAGGCCATCATGGACCCCCCCAAAGACACACACACACACATATTGTTACAAGCATGATGCGTCACGCAACGATACTTGCTTCACTGAGTTTGGCCACTTGGGCTGCTCCCCCCCCACCCCCAGGGCCCCCACGGGCCCCCCAGGGCATCCCGAGGAAGGCTCCTTGGGGCCACCGAGGGCTCCCACGCCTTTTTGAGCGTTTCTTGGGCTCCGAGGGCCGCTGGTCGGCCTGGGCTGGTCAGGCTTCCCGGAGGCCCACGCGGCGGGCGCCAGGCGCGCCTCCTGCAAGCGGCCAAAGGGCGCCCAAGAATGCCGTCAGATTGGTGGTCGGGGCCTCGAAGAATTCGCCCGCCCCCCAGACCACACATCTGTATGAACCTTGGGACACTCCACTCCATGCTGAAGGCGCTTTGGCGGATATATCAAGCAGGCGTGTGCTCGCATCTGACCGCGGCATAGAGCGACACAGCAACGGGACGGCCACTTCAGCAGCGCTGGCGATGAAGTGTGCCTCAGGGAGAAAAGAGAGAGGGCGGGACCAGGAGGTGGATGAGGAGGAAGGGGGTACGAATACAGGGCCGATGATAAGGAGCAGGATGCGGACGAGAAGGAGGAGACGGATGCTGCTGTTTTGGGTTTTGATGATGCGAACATGTGAGTGGCGAGGTAGCACGTGACCCTGAAGAAAGTATCGAGAGCCAGTCTGAGGTTCTCCATGAGCCCTCGAACTTTCGGCGGAGGCGATGCCGACCCCCTCCAACGGTAAAAGCTTGCAAGGCGAAGAATGGCGGATGCTCTGCCCTTCCCCTCGCCGCAGCGCGCGGTCTGAGGAACGCCGTTAGCAGATGCCGTTCGGGGGTCTGTCCAGACCTTCGAGGTCTCCAGGGAGCTCTCCCCGCGGCGCGCTGCTCGGGATGCTTGCTTGTTGGCTTCACCGCTGGCCCAGACGGCGGCTGCTGCGGTTGAAGTTGCAACTGGGGCGCCCGTAGGCTGATCTTCTGCCCTGCGCGAGGGCGCCAGCTGCTGGCAGTCTGCCCTGGAAGTGGTGCGAGCCGCGAGATTGGAGACCTGCGTTGCAGGGTGGTGCCGCGAGTTAGCCATGCGCCCAAGTCTTTGCCAGGCGGGTTCGGGAGCGCGGCGGGGAGTGCGCTGGACTGGCCCAGGACTGCCCACGTGACGCGTCACTGCTGCAGCCAAAGCGGCATTCAGGACGAGGAATGACAAGATGAACATGTGGACACATGCATGTTAACGACGGGGGTGCTTATTATGGTGGTGACGATGGTGATGGTGGTGATGGTGGTTGCGATGAGTGTGGCAGCTGTTACGATGACGTGACTTATCGTGGCATTCGGCCGATCCCGTCACTGCGACCGGGTCGTGGACAAAAGAAGCCTCTTTGGGGCCTCTTGGGGTCTGTTGAGGGACCTCTCGGGGACCTCTTGAAGGCCTCTTGGAGGCTTCTGTGGCGCCTGTTGAGGCCACCTGTGGGTCTCTTGGGCGCCTCTGGTGGCCTCTTGGGGGCATTCTGGCGGCCATCTTGGGCGGAAGGGCTCCTGGGGTCTCTTCAAGTTCTCCCTCTTGCAGCCTCTTGGGCCGTTTTGGGCTTCCCTTTTACCTCAAGTGCCTTCTTAGGAAAGTCTGGGGGCCTCTTTGGCCGCCTTGGATTCTCTTAAGACCTAAAGGCGAGTGTGCGCAAGTCGAGCAACAGTCCAATGAGTTCTAAGCATTTTGGCCTCTTGAACCGGCCTCAATGGCTTCCAGGACGGCCCCCCAGTGCCTCAAAACGGACCCCGGACGGCCCCCTGGGATCATCCAGGGAATGCTGAAAATGGAGTTTCCTTACATGGCGTCCAGTCCATGGCTTTCGAACGTCACGACCCAAGCCTCGGAAGCGCAAGCGCAGACATTCTGGCATCTGCTGGCATGGATCCGAGGCCATTTGCAATATTCAGTATTGTGGGCCCGAGGGGGCTCGAGGACGGGCTACTCAGCGCCTACGATTCGGTGCTAGCCGTACATGATATACATATACACAAATGTAGACGATGATGGCGACGACGACGACGCTATTGCTGCTGCTGATGAGAATGATGCTGCTGCTGCTGATGATGATGCTGACAGTGATGATGATGCTGCTGATGATGATGCTGATGATGATGCTGATGCTGATGAGGATGTTGATGTTGGCAATGATGATGATGATGATGATGATGATGATGATGATGATGATGATGATGATGTTGTTGTTGGTGTTTATGATGACTGTGCTGATCATGATGATGATGCTGCTGATGATGATGCCGATGATGATGATGATGATGATGATGATGACGATGATGATGATGATGATGATGATGATGATGATGATGATGATGATGATGATGATGATGATGATGGTGATGATGATGATGATGATGATGATGATGATGATGATGATGATTGTGGTGGTGGTGATGATGATTATGATTATGCTGATGATGATGATGATGATGATGATGGTAGTGGTGGTGATGGTGATGTTGATGGTGATGACGATGTGATGTGATGATGATGACATTGACACTGCTGCTGCTGACGACGACGATGTCGACGACGGTGACGATTACGACGACGATGATGACGCATATTCTGACGATGATTATGATGATGCTGCTGATGATGACGATGCTGGTGATGCTGGTGGTGGTGGTGATGATGATGAGGAGGATGCTGATGCCGATGCTGCTGCTGCTGCTGCTGATGATGATGATGATGATGGTGATGGTCATGGTACTGCTGCTGCTGCTACTGCTGATGATGATGATGATGATGATTATGATGATGATGATGATGATGATGATGATGATGATGATGATGATGATGATGATGATGATGATGATGATGATGATGATGATGATGCAGATGACGATGATGATTATGCTGGTGCTGATGCTGATGTGATGCTGATGATGCTGATGAGGAGATGAGGAGGATGAGGATGGGGATGAGGAAGGGAGGAGGATGATCTTTTGCTGGCAAGGGTCTGCGTCACCTGCTGCCGAGGTTTGGCCGTCTGTTGTGGCTCTCCGCGCAAACGGCGCGCCCGTGACGGCGCCGCCGCTCTCTGCGAGGTGGCGGAGCGAGCCCATGAGGCAGGCAGCGGACGGCAGGCCAGCTCCCCTGCCACGTTCCGCACTGCCTCCCGCGAGGGGAGAGCAGGGGCCAGCGGCGCCACGTTACAGAACCGGCAGGGGCCAGGCCACCCTACGGCGTGCCCGGAGGAACCGCCAGCAATCACCACCAACAGGCAGCCGTCTGCAGCCAGCGGCAGGCAGTAGCAAGCAGCCCGCCCTATCCTCTTCCTTCTTATCCTCTCCTCATCCCCATCCTCCACGCCATCCTCCACCCGCTTCCCCCCCCCCTGTTCCACCCCGCCCCATCCCTCTCCTCCTCTCCTACCTTCCCCTCGCCCTTTTCCCCTCCCCCCCTCGCCCCGCCCGCACCACACCAGGCTTAGCCCTCTCCCCTTGCCCCCGCTCCCCGCTCCTCCGACACCAGCCCACTTCTCTCGTCCCCCCAGCCCGACCTCCCGCCTCCCCTCGCGCCGCCAGCGGCAGCGCCCCCCCGCCCCCCCCCCCGCGGCTAGAGGGTGCGCCGTGGCGCCATGCCGTACATTCCGCCCTCCGGCACGCATCGGGCTGCTGCCCGGGCAAACGTGGGCGCGGGCTCGCCCGTGAAGCCAGCTGCCCGCTCCCCCCTGGCCTCTCGAAGAAGAAAAAACGCCACATAAACTTTTGGCGCTCCGCGCGGATTTCTTGGATCCGCGCTGGACCTCCCTCCCTGGCGCGCGGCGCCGGAGGCACAGCCGGGGAGGCCCAGCGCGGATCCACGAAATCTGCGTGGAGCGCCAACAGTTTATATGTTTCTGGCGTTTTTGTATTTTTCAAGGCCTCGCCCGTGAAGCAGGCGGCGTCGTCTCCGAAGTCGGGCAAGGCGAGGGCCCCCTCGCCGTCGCTGGTGTCGACCCAGGCCCGAGGGCGCCACCCTGCACCCGCGCACACCGATCCAGCGGAGCCGGCCCCGGGCCCCGGATGGGTGTGGGCGTGTGGGTGGCACCCTCCTGGAGGCCGCCAGCCCGAGCTTCTCCACGATCTTCGCCTCGAAGCCTTCTTCTCCAGGGAGGGCGCTGGGCAAGCTGGACACGGGGACGTGAAACTGGCGGGCCGCCCACGGGTGGAGCCCCCGGCTGGGGGGTGCAGGCAGCTTCCGACGCCCTCACCGTGCCAACTTTGTGCTGCTCCGTCTGCTGCTGTTCCTCGCCTCTACCTTGAAGTCGGGCCTGTCCCTCTACAGGAGGAATGTTCAAGAATAATCGGAAAATAGTATGGAGACGATTTACTTTTTGTCAATTTTGAATTTTTCGTCCCAAATCCGCCTGACACGCCCGACCTAACTCTACCTCGCACTGTACCCTTGCTAGCGTACGTCCCAGAGGCCCCTCGCTTGAGCTCAGCTTCGAGCTCGGGGCTTTGCTGTCCATTGCATGGGCTCCCGTTGCCTGCCCCACGCGCCCGCGAGGAGACTGACGGAGAGCCGGAGGTTCTTGCGGATCTACACGTGCGCGCACGCACTGTAGATCCAGAGCCCCGGGCCCCTGGCGCCCGGGCGGGAGTCGGGTCCCCCCAGGTGGGACCACGTCCGGACGTGTTGCAAAGCCCCTGCCCAGAGCGGGACCACGTCCGAACGTGTACGCAAACAATCAGACGAGCCGCCCAGACTGCCCAATGCAGCGGCCACGCCACGCCACGCTTGGGCGCCCACCAGACTCGCCATCCCTCGTCTCGTGTGGGACGGCCTTGCGGCGGCCTCCCGGGTGTCACCCCGGCCCTGCGCAGGGTCCCGACGACGGGCCTCAGGAGGCCGTCAACGTCAGCCCGCGACGGCCCGCATGTACAGCCGAAGACGGCCCACTGGTCCAAAGCGGACCTCGTCGGCCCCGGGCGCCTCGAACACTCTCCCAACACGGCTTCAACGAGCCCCTAACAGGTCCCCAAAGGGGCCTTGAGAAGCGTTTCGGGCCAGGCTTGGGCCTTTCTTGGCGCCGCGTTGGGCTATGTTAGGGGTCCCCACCTTGCGCTGGGCTCACCTTGGCAGATCAGCGCTTTCCGATCTGAGAGTTTGGGCTATTCTCCTGTTGTCCATTTCTGCTCTGCGAGCACTTCCAGGGCATAAAGCGGCAGATCTGTTCTCTCCCCCCCCTTCCTGCCCCCTTCTCCCAGGCCGCCCTCTCCCTCCCCCCTTGCCTCTCTCGTGGCTTCTTGCCTCAGGGCCCTGCTGTGCATGCTCAGCTGAGGTGGCGTGAAGCAATGCCCCCCCCGGTCGGGGCCACACCCCTCGGGGGCGCGGGTTTCCCCGGCCAGAGGAGATCATCGAGAAGTACAGGAGCAGCCCCCCGGAAATTGCCAGAGCCACCGCCCCTCCACCTGGTGATTCACCCCGCCCCCCCAGTCCTTCCCCCCTCTTCCCCTCTCCCGCCCCTTGTCTCATTACCCCCTTTTCCTCTTGGTTCTCCAAGACGCTCCGCGCATCCCCACCAGCCCATGCAGCGGCCAGCGATTCGCCGGTTTATCGCTCGTTCTAACCTGCAATGGCCCTGTCTGATGTGGTCCAGTCGTGTGCAATCTAATCCAACAGTGTGGGACACAGTGTCTGGTGTGCCAATCAGGTCTTGTCGGTCTTGTTTGATGTGAGACCTGGTCCCACCTGATGCGGAGGTACAGTCGGCATTATGTAATGTTTTGTTGCTTCGATTTTTTTTTCTTGTCCTCCTCATTACCAGTTTTCGTGCTCTGTATCTGCCTCCGCCTCCCCGCCGTCGAAGTAGTAATCTTCCTCGTCTGCTCACGATTCCTGTTCTTTCTTCCTCCACCTCGTCGTTGCCTTCCTCGTTGTTGCCTTCCTTGCTGTTGCCTTCTCGAGCTTGTGGTTGCCTTCCTGAGCTCCCTTTGCGTTCTCAGTCCGCAGGGGGCAGACCTGCGGTCACGCACGGACGGTTTGGGTTGTTCGTGAGTGGCTTGGCCTGGTCGGCTGTGGCCTCGCCTGGCATGGTATGCGTAAGTCAGTGGACAGGGCTATGTTTTCGTGTGACACCGTTTGATCCGCTGTGGTCGAGTGTTGCGAAAGCGTGCTACGGAGCAAATATGAGGCGAGCTGGCGAAAGAGCCACACTATAACGAAAACAGCGTGGCATCATCTTGAGAGGCTCTCGCCAGCCTCTGGTGGGCCCCTTCTCGGCTTTCCTTTTCTGCACATTAGGGGGCCTCTCGGTGACGTGGCCTCCTCTTGGAGGCCCCTTGGAAGCGTTGGAGTCGCCTCCGGGGAGCCTCATGGGTCCATTCCTGGCCGTCTGAGCAGTCCTTATGCTTTCTTGCGAGCTGTTCGGGAATGTGGGCTCTTCCCAGGCGCTCCTTGGACGTGCTTCGGTCGCCTTCCGTGCGCCTTTTGGTGGCCCACTGTATGCCTGTTGGCGCCTCCAGAGCCCCTTAGAGGCCGTCTGGGGGTTTTCCTGGAGGCCCTTCGAGAAGACTTGGAGCTCACGGAATGGACCACCTGGACCTCGGGCTGTCATGGGCTCCTCTTGGGGGCCTCTTGGACAGTTGTTTCGGATTGTCGGACGCGTCTTGGCGGCCTCTCGGGCCATATTCGGAGCCTCTTCGGAACAAGACGCGGGTGACCGCAGAACGCCTCGCCCAGTCGGGACTCCATCCAGGATGCAACACAATCCGACCACATCATGTTGAACCGTTGCTTTTTGCTCAGCAGCGTTTCTAATCTGAGACATGCCAGAAAGAGGCATTGGAGCCCATCGGGGGGGCCGAAATTGGCACTCTAGGGAGGACTTCGCCTTAAATGGCGGGGCAGCTTCTCCCAACGCCAGAAGTCACGGGTCTACGGTGTGCGCGGTCTGTTTTGGGACCAGGCTCGAGAAGGCAGGACATGTCGAGGCAGGCCTCCACGATGGCATTCGATGGGTCATGTTTGTCCACGATGATTGCGGGACTGGCTCCCGTATACCACAACAAGACCCTACGATGGCTCCGAGGGGCCCCAGAACCCCGAGAGGTCCAGCCGTTTGACAACTTGTTTTCTCGCTCTGTCGGCTTCCGATGGCCATAATATTGTTCAACATGGCCCAGAGAATCGCCCAGAAGCCCCCAACAGAGCCCCAGAGGGCCCAAATGTGCCTCCCCGAACACCTAGTTCGTAGGTCGAGCCCAACGAGAACTGATACAAATGCCCAAACCATCTTTTCATAACCACCCAGGGGCTCCGAAATGCCCTTCAGAGCGTCAAGAGGGTCCCAAGAGGGATCAGCAGGGCCCCAATTAAGTCCCCGAGGACGCTTTGAAATAGCCTCAAAAGGTTAGGAGAGGCTTGTCCTGGGCTCGTCCCGAGGGCCCTGCAAGGCTCTCTCCGCGGCTCGTCCTTCTTTCCTGGGGTTGGCAGTGGCGCCCACCGCGCCAGACTACCAGCCACCAACAATTCTCAGGCGAGGGGGCAAGTGTTGCGATATGGCGGCAGGGTGGAAGGGTAGCCCCCCCCCAGGGGTTCAAGGCATGCAGAGAGGAGCTTAGCGCGCGCCCCAAAGCCATATGTCGCACGGAGGTCTAGTGGTATCGCTCCCTTCTTGCTCGATGCTTCTTCTTCAGTCTCCCCTTGCCAGCCTCGTCTGCCCTCTTCCCCCCACTTCCTCTTCGCCCTTCCCTCCGCTTCCTCCTCCTGGCGAGGGGAGGGTGGTGTTGGTGGGGGTTTGGGGGGGGGGCTGTGGGTCTGGTGTTTTTTGGGGTTCTGGTGCAGGGAGGCTGCCCGCCAGAAGGCGGCGAAGCCCGTCGACCTGAGCCACCAGACGAAGCCCGTCGACCTGAGCCGCCAGCCGACCTTTGAGGAGTCGCCCGTACCAGCATCGAAGAACAAGAAAATCGCCATAACAATAAACTTTTGGGTTCCGCGCGGCTTTCTCGGATCCGCGCTGGGACCCCCGGCGGCGCCTCCGGCGCCGCCCCTGGCGCACTCCGCGCGTCGCGGAGGGGGGCCCCAGCGCGGATCCAAGAAGAAGCCGCGCGGAGCGCCAGGCGTTTATGCTCATGGCGCTTTGTCTTCTTCCAGAGGAGGCGCCTGCACCGGCAGCCCCCCCGCCGCCGACCCGCCAGGAGCTCGCTGCCGCCGAGAGGGAGCGCGTGGCCGAGAGAAATCGCCTGGCCGAGCAGAGCCGACTGAATAGGATACGGAGCAGCCCCAAGTACACGCAGGCTCGGCAGACGGACACCCTCGAGACGAACCCGTCGTTCGTCGATATGGAGGCCGCCTGGCACAGGTACGCCGCGAGGCTCGTGGCCTGAAGCGCACGACGTTCCAATTCTGTGCTTCCCTCGTGCACCCTTTCCTCTTCTTGTCCTGCTCCACCCTGCCCTCGCCCGCGGTCTCCTTCTTCCCCCTCCTGGCACCTGGCACCTGGTGGCTCGGAAGTTCGTCAGAACGTAGCATACCCCCCCCCCCCTCAGGGCCAGTCGGCCCTGAAAGGGGGTTTGATCAAATTTGTGCCAGGTGACCATTGGAGGGTCACCGGCAAATATATGTAAGAGTAACGCAGTGGACGGACAGAGGAATTCCCCCTCCTCATCGTCCTCCTTATTTCTCATTCCCCGCTGATTGCTCGTCGTTCCTTTCACGTACTCCCTCGTCCCGACTCATATCTTATCGCCCTCTCTCATCCATCATGTTTGTGCCCTCTCGTCTTGACTCCTCGCCCCCCTCCGCATCTCCTACAGGTGCCCTTGCATACAGCATCAGGTCAAGCAGATTGACTGGGTGGCAGGTGGCAGGGCAGGACATAGCACCGCGGCCGTGAAACGTCCAGTGACTGAACATCTCGTGCCTTCTCTGGTATAGCGAACAGTTTCCCCTTCAGGGGCTTGGTCCAATGCTCCATGACGCCGGCCTCTGAACAAGTCTGGTAGAATGTGGGTATGGATCCGGGCGCATTTTACTAGATGATGCCAGCGCGCGGACCCCACGCAGTAGGTTTTTGCACTCTTGATGTTGACACCGTAAACTGCCCAAATCTGCCTCATGGCTGGTCTCCGGGCTCCATGGATGGTGCCCTACGATGCGCACCCTATTGCTGATGCCCTGTGGTCGGGCCAGTGCCGTACGGTTTGTGCCCGATGGTTGGTGCCTTATGGTTGGTGTCGTAAACTTGGTTTCCTACGGTTGGTGTCTTATTGGTTTTGCCCTGAGTGTGGTCTATGCTCAAAGGCATCATACCGTATGTGCCCTGCGATCGGTGCGCATGTTGCATTTTGGCTGGTGCCCCCCCTGCGTTGGTTCCCTATGGTTCTCTACGGTGCCCTGATGGGCTCGATGGTTGGTTGGTGCGCAATACTCAGTGCCATAAAGATGTGTGTTCCATGGCTGGTGCCCGATGGCGCTGGCCCCCTATGGCTGGTGTCTTCTGGTCGGCGCGCTTGCGGCCGACTGCGACGGATAGGACATCATGGGCCACCAACCCACACCGCACCGACACATGGCGCACTCTTGCTCCAGAGGCCGACTGCGGACAACTCCAAAGGACGAAACACCCGGAAGCGTCGGGCACCGACCACAGGCCGCCGGCCTTTGCGCCAGATCGCCAAAGGTCTCTTGCCGAAGGCCCAGAAACGACGACGCAGAACCAATCGCCGCAGGGCACCAACCATCGGGAACCTCGTGGGTGCAGGCTCGCATCGAGTCGGCTGCGAGTTATCTGCGGTTCTTTGTCGGCCTACGGCGCGACGACAGCACGTGGGCGCAGCTGGGGCAGAACTATCAGCAGCGGGCTCGCGGGTGTTGGGCTTAACGAGAATTTGTTTCAGACGTGGTTTAGGAGGGGAAACAACACGCAGACACAATTCATCGTCGACTCCCGGGAAACTATGGGAAAATATGGGAAGTGGGGAGGAAGACAGAAACCCAGAAAATATAGGAAAATATGGGTAATCCTGTTATATGTGTGTATTTATTTGTGTGTCCCAGGGCCCCTTCAGTGGTTCACGACCGCTATGAGCACAGATCCCCTGGCGATTCTTGGCTCCAGGCCCGACGGGGTGGGCCAGCGCTTCCTGTTGTTGGCGGCTGGGCGGGCCGCTCGGCGCGTGAAAGCGTGCAGGGCACCGGGTATGTCTCGAGCCTGCTTCCTCGAGGCTTGAGTGAATTTGTAGGACGACGAGACCAGGAAGAGGCGGTCGTGGAGGACCGCGCTCGATCGGCGCAAGCTGGCGGTCTTTTCGGCACGCAGGTGGACTCATTCTGAGGGTCAGGTGCAGATTTTAGTGATCGGGCATGTTCGGCCCCCCGGTGCCCCAGATCCACCAGGCGGGCGAGTTGGGAGTCTTAGCCGTGGTTGCGCTGCTCGCCCTGCGATGAGTTCATCGGACTGCCACCACGTTGTCGCCAGTTCTCTGGCTGAGGAGACCAGGCGCTTCTTTCACGAGAGAGCGGTCGCAGGGAGGACGACTTTAGCAACCTCTCTTTTTTCTCCTGGGGCCTTCCGACAGTCGAGGCCCATGCTGTCCAGAGCAGCTGATTCGGGGGCCAGGGCTGGAGGACAGCGCGCCACGATGCCGCCGATCGTGCCACGAAGGCTCGTCTGGCCTCGCGCCTCGCGGGCCACACCGTGCAGCTTGAGCACGTGCACCCCAGGCGGGGCCGGGCGCCCTGAACCCGCACACGCCGCAGGGCCAGGGCGGCCAAGGCTGCGCGCGCCCTCGTGTGAGCCGCCCCCCGCCGCGACCGCCCGCCCTCTCCCCGTCCCCTCTCCTCGGGCTCCTCTGGCTCGCCGTGCTGGCTCCCCCTCCCCTTTTTCGGGGCGGCCTCGCCCTTCTGCACATCTTCCGCACTTGCCCCTCTGGCCCGCCCGGGGAGGGGACCTCGAGGGGTGCCGGCCGGCTCCTCTCGGAGTGCCGCGCCCCTCCGCGCCACCGTCCCCCGGGGCACGGCGCAGCGGCGCAGGGGCGGGGGGGGAGCGGCGCAGCGGCTGTTTGCGGCGCTGCGGCAGGAGGCAGGGCTCTTGTCCATGCTGCGAGTCCCCCCGGCTCCCCCGGCGGAAGGGCGCATTGGTCCAGTGCCGGAGAGAAGCTCCTCGAGGATCAGGGAGCCCCTGGCCCTCATGACATGGTGAAGACGTGGCCTCACGGGGGTCCCCGTTTCTGCATGAGGGATCATAGGTCTGGGCGCTCTGGTTGGCTACGTCTGGAGAAGAAAAGCCCTATATCCTGATTTTTTTGGGGCCTCCTAGCTTAGGTCGCCTCCCAAAAGGTTGGAGGGGCCCTTGATCGCGAATCAGAAGTCGGGCGCGGCGGATTCGAGTCGCAGCCTTTCAGGCGAAGCATTCCCTGTGCAATGGGAAACGGTTTGTTGGCAGTGGCCCGCGCGATCCTGCGGAATAACAAGTTTTTTGATGAATCCGTTCTGCACGCGGGTCAGAGATGAGCATCTGCGCTCCAGCGTCCCAGCGTTCGCACATTGGCCGTGCAATTTCTGCTGCAGGCTCCGCGCGAGGCCTGTGC